GTCCGCCCTTGGGGTGCACTCAGAAATTGAGACGGCAGCAGCAGAGCCCCGCCTCGTCAAAGAGAGCGGGTTGGGGGGCTGGGGTCTGCAGAGGTGAACGTGTGGTCCCTGGCCTCCCCGTGCCCCCACCTCCCTTCCTGCAGCCCTGTAGGTCAGGTTTTCGGGGAGATGCCCCGACCCTGCCCCGTGCCCAGCCGTGCTCCCAGCTCCCCAGGGGACGACTGGGCACATGGAGCGAGCCAGAGGCCGGGGCACAGGGCTCCTTCTGCCATCATCACCTGTGCCAGGACCCCTGGCCCCTCGGGGCATCGCCACCTGGCAGGCACCAAACTGGGAGGCAAGAGGAGGAAAAGCCACATTCCTGCGTGAGAAAAGGGGGCTGCGTTCACCCGCAGCAGGGAAAACTTCATCCCTGGCTGCATGGCACGGCCCTCCGGGATGGGGCTCTGCAGCCGGGCGAAGCCTCAGCGTGGTTTACACACACACACGCCCCGACACTTCTTGGTTGATATGGAAACGAGTCAAATTATTTAAAGGAGGAAAAAAAAAAGAGAAAAAAAGCCTGGTGTTAAGGCACGTCGTTATGGTAACACAAATTATAAAAGTAACTAGGCTAGGGACGTGGCACCTTGCTTTCGGGTGCTGGGCGTTGTGCAGGCTCTGCCGCTCGATCAGCTGAAGCGGGGGGGAAGGGCGGGCAGGATGGCACCCATGGGCAGCGGGAGTGATGCTCGGGATGCAGTGCCGGGTGAGCCGGGGCACGGCTGACCCAACAGTGCAGGAAGAAGGGGACATGGCTTGTGCAGGGGGTGCCGGGGAGCCCGACCTCATTTTGGGGCCGTTAGCCTTCACCCAGGCAAGCAGGATTGCTGTTGCTACCTTGGCTGGGGTCAGGCATGAAGCAGGATGCTGTGGCCAGAGGCGGCTACGTTTTGGCAGCATTGCGGGTGGCAGAGGGGAAGTGTTTGTCACGCTGGTAATAGGAACGCCTCGACCGATGGGGATGGGGAGAGGAACGCAGGCAGAGCCTGCCTGCACCCCCAGCGCCGTCGGAAAGCCCTCATCCCCCTGGCATCCCACGCTTGCCGCTCTTCCCTGCAACATGTGAGTCAAACTCGGGATGTGCGTCCCCCCAGCCAGGCAGATGAAGCGGTGCTGGCTGCTGAGCGGGAACGTCCCAGCTACCAGACAGGGCAAAGGGACATCAGACCCTGGTCCCCAGGGGTGACACCCAGCCCGGTGGGTGACACCGAGCTCAGGACCTCGCGCAGCACCTGGTGCCGACAGTGGCCATCCCTCTGCCCACACCAGGGGCAGCTGGAGAAGGATTAGCCCTAAATCCCCAGGGGTGAGACCCTGGTCATCCACGAGGCCCCTGTTTAAAGCTTACAAACCCGCTCTCTGCCTTTACTGCCTGGGTCGGGGCTTGGATGCGCTCAGCAGGCAGCGTGCCAGCGGTGGCAATCCCTTGGCTCCGGTGCAAAACCGCACTGGGTAGGAAACCCACATCCACTCAGGGCCAGCGCTGCTCCGGCGCAGAGGTGCCGGGGCTGCAGAAGTTCCCGTGGCAAAGACTCTTTGCCGGAGCACCGCTCAGCTCCCAGCATGGCCAGCTCCCTGGCAAGCCCAAATCCTTCTCCCGGGGGCTTAGGGCTGCAGAAGTTCCCGCGGCAAAGACTCTTTGCCGGAGCACTGCTCAGCTCCCAGCATGGCCAGCTCCCCGGCAAGCCCAAATCCTTCTCCCGGGGGCTTTTCCACCCATATGGGTGTTTCAGAGGGTCTGGGCAAGTGCCTGGCCCATCTCCGCAGAGGTTTCCTTCCCAGGAGACCTTTGTGGGGCGTCCATGGATGGGGCAGGGCGCGTTAACCTTGCTGAGCAGGCTGAAACCAGTGTGATGAAAGGCGCCGTGTCCCCTTCGCTCCCTCTGTTTCGGTTGCAACTTCTGCTCTTCTGCAGCCAGGAGGTTGCTTCACCAGAGCGTGCGGCGTTTCCTGCGCCCGGGAGCAGCTGGGCAGTCACCCGGGGCAACAGGGCTTGCTTCCTTCCCCAATTTCACCCTGCTCCCTTCCTGGCTTCTTCTGGCAGCCTGTGGGGACAGTGTCCAGCCCCCGGAGCAGCAGCGGTGGCGGTGATGGGGTCTGGTCCCACCCGGCAGCAGCCTGCCTGGGTGGCTTTGCTGGGGCAGGACACAGCCGCATCCCAGTCCCCGCGTTCCTGGAGAGACCTAGGACAGGATGAGCGCGCTGTGCCGGTGTGGCGTCGACTGGCAGCCCACGGCAGCGCTCGCAGGAAAGCTGCCCGCCCACCTCCATCTCACTCTGCTCCCTCCCGCTCACAGCCACCTCTAACCTGGACCTCGAGAGCAAGAAAGCCGCCCACGCCAAGCTGTCATGGCAGCAGCCGGTGAACGTCTTCCTGGCGGCTGGGGGCCCCCCGGGCATGGAGCAGCTGCACCAGGAGGGGACCTCGAAAGCAAGAAAGCCGCCCACGCCAAGCTGTCATGGCAGCAGCCGGTGAACGTCTTCCTGGCGGCTGGGCGCCCCGCGGGGCTGGAGCAGCTGCACCAGGAGGCCCAGCTCAACCTCCAGAGCTTGCTGCAAGGTAGCCGGGGCAAGAGGGGCCAGCGGCGGGCTGGGTGAGGGTGGCAGGGACGGGCGCTGCCCTGGCTACGCGACCGCCGTGCAAACAGCGAGGTCATCTCCCACATGCACGTGTCCGAGCTGCTCCTCGGACCTCGCCGAGCTGTAGAAGTTGGGTCCCCGGTGGGTCCCAGCCTCCAGCAGCCCCTCTCTGATCTCTGCTCCCAAGTCACTGCTGCAAGCGGCAGAGCACCTGGGGCCAAGACCAGCCGCCGGGGCCACCGGGGCGCCCGCCAGCCCCACCGCGGCACGGTTCTGCCCACGAGGGCCTTGGAGACCCGGCTGCTGATCTGTCTAACCGGATCAACATGGCCGTTGATTTTGTTTCCTTCCAATTTCTTAACCAAGCCGTCACGCGGCCTCGGTTTGGATGCTTCGCAGGCATTGATTAGATCAGCAGCCCAGCCTTCCCCCGGCTTGTAATCTCATTAAGTCAGCCTGAGCAGACCTGGTTTCCACCAGGCCATAACGACCGGCGTTAATTAGCTCAACAATTACAGGATGGGGAGACACTGAGTTCTCTCCTGGCTGTCCCAGGCGGAGCTCTGCTTCCCCATGGGATCCGCCATGTCCCCAGGCAGCCCCCTGGTAGGAGCGTGGCGGGCTGCTGGGGTCCCAGCGCTGCCTCGACTCTCCCCCAGCCCTGGCATTCTTCCTTGGGATCTCCCTTCCCCACCTCCTGAGCTGCCTGTGTTGAGCAGGGAGGCAAGCTAGCCCAGGGACAGACAGCCGGGACAGATGCACGTGCCTTCGTGTTCCTCCTGCCCCGGGGGCAAAGCTTTCACCCCCAGCCGGCGGCTGGAGCAGGGTCCCAGGTGCCGTTTCTCTTGCAGAGGAGTATGAGGAGCAGTACGCCGAGAGCAGGGTCACCGGGCAGACCTTCCGCGCCGCCGGTCACCTGCCTCCCAACACCCCCTCGAGTTCGTGCTTATGGTGAGTGCCGGGGCGGCGGGGCAGGGCGGCACAGCCCCAGCATCGCCGGGAGGAGAGGGGTTGGCATGGCCAGTCAGGCAGCAAGGCCCGGGGGGAGTTCTTTGTGTCCTACCCTCGTCCCTTTGGTGGGTCACATGCCTTTCATCCCACAGCCCCCAAGCCGGCGAGCAACCGAAGAGGAGACGGCTGGCACAACCGTGCTCGGCTCTCGGCTGCCCGACGCCTCCCTGAGCCTCCCCACCAGCCCGGACAAGCAGCCAGCCTGGACCAGGGCCTTCCCCCTGCCCACCGTGGAGGAGAAGCAGTGGCACCAGTCCTGCTCCATCCAAACCAACATCGTCCCCATCAATGTCTCGGGTAGGGCAGCACCCCCGCGGCGTGGTGGGGGGAGAGGTGTGAGAGGCAGCCCCAGCACCGAGCCAGCACCGGGGGGAGGATGCAGGGTGCAGGCAAGGATGCGCCCCAGCATCCGGCTGCGGCGGGGTGCACGGCGGTGGGAGGGGGTGGGGGGGGCTGGGAGCCTGTGTCCCTGCGGGCCAGGCGGGTGCCGGGGGTAGAGCAGGGGACAGCAGGGCCACGCTGGCGTCTGTCATTCCCAGCCATCTCTCCTGCCATCCGTAACTTTGTGCGTCTGATCCACCGGCCACGCCGCCGTCCAGTCTCTTGTTTCCGCCGTGCTGCCCAGCCAGCCGGTTCTGTTGTCACCTTGGCTCTCGCCGCGCTCCATGCGGCCAGCCTGTCTCACCTGTCTGTCCGTCTGTCCGTCCATCCTCACGGGGCTGCAGCTCCCAGCAGCACGGTCCTGCCTGGTCCTTGCAGGCACAAGTGCCACGCTCTGCCTCCAGGTAACAGCCTGGGGCCGGTGGCTGAGCAAGGTGCACCTTCTGAAGGCAAAAGATGTCTTTCCGCCCTTTCCCTCCACAATGGAGAGACGTGCCGGGACCACGCTGGTCCCTCTCCCCATCCTGCTGTTCCTCATGTCCATGTCCCCAGTGTGGCTCAGCACCACTGGCCCCATTAACGACAAAGCCCAGCGGTGCGGGGTCCGGCCTCACCGGCGCAGACCAAAGCCTGTCGTGCAGAGCGGGGCTGGTCTCTGCAGGTTTCCGTGCATCCCCACCTCCATCTGCAGCATCTCCGTCTTCCCACCGGCTGGCAGCACCCGCCGTGCCTCCATCTCCCGTGTGGCTCACCCCGCATGGCTCACCACCCTCCTGCCATCCCACGCTCCTGCCTGCAGTCACCATCCCAGGCCGGGGGACACCCAGGGGACACACAGCGATGGAGGGGGGCAGAGCCCCCGCCCCGGCAGCCCCTCCTGGCACCGCCACGTACAGCGTGTTTGTTTTGGCTACAGGGCAGCACTTTGCTAGGCACGCGAGTGCTCGTCACTCCCTGTTTAACACAGAGACCGCGATGAACCCCAAGTCCACCCTGCGGCGTAGACGGACCATTATCGGATTCCCTAACCTGTCCCTGCGAGACCAAGGTGACGGCAAGAACTGCGCAGCCACTTTCATGGCCCGGCAGCGCCTGGGCAGGGCTGGCACCCGCCGGAGCTGCCCTGACGGTGGGCAGAGCCACCCTGGGGGCTGGCAGCCAGCCTGGGCACAGACGGGCTCCCCAGGGATGCCCTGGCCTTGGGGAGGTAAAGGCCACCACACTGAATCTGCTCCCTCCTGGTGCACCGAGGTGCTGGGCATGCTGGTGATGCCGGGCTGGCCCTGGGGCTGGCATGGCATTGGGGACAGCCCCTTCACCCCAAGTCGGGGTCCTGCACACTTACGGGGCGGGAAGGCCACCGAAATTTCTGCTAGTCACCCAGCCTCAGCTCCGGCAGCTCCTGCCCCGTGCCCACTCTCCCCGGCTGCAGGCAGACCTCATGCGCAGGGTGCCAGGGCCCCGGGGCATGCACCCTGCCTGGGTCTTCGCTGGGGCTGGCCAGCCAGCCTGCGCCAGCATGCCGAGGGCACTCACATGGCTGCGGGGTGCCTGCAGCACTCCCAGCACAGCCACGGACCGGTGTTGGACCCCATGGGGACAGCAGCCATCCCGGCTCGGAGGCCTTGTCATGCCATCCCCTATGGAAGGTGTAGAGAAACCAGAGCCAGCCTCTTCTCAGAGGCAGGCAGGGACAGGAGGAGGAGAAGCCATGGCACCAGCTGCGCCAGGGGGAATTGTCACTGGGTAGGAGGAAGGTTTTTCCCCATGACAGTGGTCAAACCTCCAAAAGGTTGTCACGGCTCCTCCCTTGGAGATGGTCAGGCCTCAGCCCGCTGCAGCCTTGAGCATCCTGGTCTGCTGGGTGTGCTCTGAGCGAGGTCCCCAGCTCCTTCCCCATCCAGGCTGTTCTGAGATGAGGAGGCACTGTGAGCCATTGCGTCCCTCCCCGACCCGAGCGGTGATGCTTTGCTCTGCTCTTCCTGGTCTCCATCTGTGTCCCCACCACGGGGCAGCATTGGGGCAGCACTTTGGTCGCCGGGTGGAGACTCCCGCCGTGGCCGCTAACTTAACATCCATGGCACGTCCCAGCCAACAGATCCCAGGCTCGAGGGTTAACACAGGCCAGGGACTGTCCCCAGTTGGGTTATGGCCATGCCAATATAAGGGGTAGGAGAGCATCTGGTGAGAGGGTGTTGACCTGTCCCCTCCGGTCCCGGTCCACCCGGGCACGTTTCATGCAGCCCCAGAGATCGGCCACGGGATGGGACCAGTCCTGGCCCCACGGCACGCGGCGCAGGACCGTGCCACCGATCCACTGGCAGAGAGTGAAGCGGGACGATGCTCACCCGGGCTGTGTCTCTCCTCGCAGGTGGTGCCAACGGACCCACATTCAACACACACGTGCCCATCGCCGAGTCCCTCTCCTGCAGCTTCGTGCCCGC